CTTGAGATGAGGAAAAGTATTTTTAATTTTAACATGACAATTATTTTGAACACGGACTATTCAAAACAAATACTCAATATATTAATGGACAAAGCTATATTCTATTCTATTAAAAATAACTTCACTAAAAATAATGATTTTTTCTTATGTGAACTGAAAGTCTGCCAAATTTTGTGAAGTTTCACACACTATATTGAAAGTTAGAAGTATTAAATCTCCAAAATCTAACTTGTAATATTACAACTTTGAGGTATTTTTGTTATTACTTATTTTCTAGCTTGGTCTCCTTTTTTACATAATGTTTTTGTACTTACAGCATTTATTTGAAGATTATTTTCCTTTCTACTGACCCCAGAAGTAAGGAAAGTAATTAGGTCACTTAAATTTTCAACAACATACTTGTATCTTAGCTAAAATGAAGAAAACTTCGTCTACTTACCGAAGAGATAATTTCTACGTTATCATCAGAATTGCTCTCAGATGTGTTAAACACCTTAATTCTTTTTCGTTTTTTTGGCTGCTTATGATAACTTCTTGCTCCGCGTTTTTCATCGTCACTTGATTTCCTCTTCCTCTTCTTTGTTTTCTCAGCGTCCGAGTATACGGATGAACCGTCTGAGGTATTTGATTTTTTATGTTCTGAATCTTTGAAATCATCATCTGATGAAAATATTCTTCTCTTTGCTTGGGAAGATTTTCTGAAGATAAGAGAAATTTGTCAGCCCAAATAATTAAAACTAAGTTGTTACAGCTATAATTAATCACTGGATCATACAAGAAATTATCAAGGAGTTAAAGAAATCAAGCAAAGAAGAAAAACAATAAATTATTATAGAGTTCCATATACATAAATGCTTTCTACTGTTTTCAACTGTAAACTTGGGAGGCTAAAATGTAAACCACAAAACATAAAGGAAAAAATTTACATTTTTGATTTATCTTTTGGAGCTTCATTGGAACTTTTATCCTCCTCCTCCTCCTCACTGTCTGTTATCTTTACCCTCAGTAGTTTATGATATTTTCTTTTCTTTCTTGGGCTGGTGTCAAAATCACACAGGGAATCATCATCATCATCTGTCTCTTTATTTTCCTCCTCATCCAGTTTCGGCTCTTTGTTTTCTTTGTTCTGATCGGTTTTCGAGTCCGTTTTCTCCTTTTCTGTCTTATCTTCTATAAAAAAGAAGCCAGATAAAACCCTGCATGAACACAATTCAAATGTTGTTGAATTTTGAACATCATTCCTCTAACAACTTTTAATGGGTTATTTAACAAAACAACATTTTTTTTTATGTGTAATCCTATAACTTGTAACAAAAGTATAAGACACATTTTAAATGACACATACTAAAGATTTGAAAAGGCTTCCTTACAATGTCATAAAGAAATGATAGTGCTTTCAACAAGTTCCAACAAACTTGAATATTTTAGATGATGTTACCTTCACTTTCATCAGAACTTGTTATTGAAGCTTGCTTTAAAAGGAATTCCTTGGCCTCCTGGTTTAAATCTTTCCCGGTTGATTTCTGTCAGAATATAAAGATACACTTTAAGAGCAGTCAAATCGTGGAGATGTATAGTTAATATGCACGTAACTATAAATATATACAGTTACCAAAAACAACTTAATTCTTAAATGATACCAGTAATAACACAAATGGTAAGAATCAGCTTGAAACAGTTCACCATTTAACAACAGCTTAGGTGAAACAGTCTACCATTTAACAGCAGCTTAGGTGAAACAGTCTACCATTTAACAGCAGCTTAGGATGGAACAGACTACCATTTAACAGCAGCTTAGGTGAAACAGTCTACCATTTAACAGCAGCTTAGATGGAACAGGCTACCATTTAACAGCAGCTTAGGTGAAACAGTCTACCATTTAACAGCAGCTTA